TTCTGTCGTCAATAAATTATGGCACTCGACTTGGGCCATATTTGATTAAAAAAAACCGGTATTTTATAAGATAGAGTCATTGTACAGATGAGAGCACGGGTTACATTAATGTTTGTGAAGATGTAAACATCCAGTATCACGTGGGGCTTCCAACTTCAGTTTAAAGACGGCGGAGGGGAGGGGTGAGAGGAGAACACACCCACTGCCTCCTCGCGGAATCGCAGACAAAGGATGTGAAGCACGTACAGGCAAAGATATCACAGCCTAACCGTAGATCACAACACAGTATATCAACCATCTTTTTAAGGTCGAACTCAGAAAACGAAGGTCTCGTTTACTCCCATGAAGATATTGGTCTTTTCAATTATCTAGTTGAAGTCTACATTTCTCGCGATGTGAACTCTACAGTTGTCGGAGTGTGATGTCTAAAAATATCAATATGTTGTGTCTAAAGTTGTCGAAACATTATGTCTAACATTGTCGAAACATTATGTCTAACGTTGTCGAAACATTATGTCTAAAGTAGTTTTCAGACTGTGATGTCTAAAGTTGCGGAAACATTACGTCTGAACTTGTCCGAATGCAAAATCATTGAGTTGTCAAACCTGCGTCTGCACAGTAATCAAAGTTTATCTGAACTCTTGGATATAATAACCTAGAAGGTCAAGGTTGCTTTGTTACCGGATCATTGGGGCAGGTGTTTGCAGGGCTTTCACTGGAAGTCTAACGTCTTGTTGCGACCATATGTCCCCACACTGTATGATAATATAGTCTAGATGTCTGCATCCATATGTCCCCACACTGTATGATAATTTAGTCTATGTGTATGCATCGATATGTCCCCACACTGTATGATAATATAGTCTAGATGTCTGCATCCATATGTCCCCACACTGTATGATAATATAGTCTAGATGTCTGCAGCCATATGTCCCCACACTGTATGATAAATATAGCCTAGGTGTCTGCAGCCATATGTCCCCAGCACTGTATGATAATATAGTCTAGATGTCTGCAGTCATATGCCCCCAGCAATGTATGACAATATAGTCTAGATGTCTGCAGTCATATGTCCCCAGCACTGTATGACAATATAGTCTAGATGCCTGCAACCATAGGTCCAAGCACTGTATTATAATTTAGTCTAGATGTCTGCAACCATAAGTCCCCAGCACTGTATTATAACATAGTCTAGATGTATGCAACCATAAGTCCCAGCACTGTGTGATACTATAGTCTAGATGATTGCAGCCATGAAGTACCAGCACTGTATGATAATATAGTCTAGATGTATGCAACCATAAGTCTCCGCACCGTTTAATAATAGCCTAGATGTAAGCAACCATAAGTCCCAGCACTGTATGATGATATAGTCTAGATTATTGCAACCATAAGTCCCAGCACTGTATGATGATATAGTCTAGATTATTGCAACCATAAGTCCAAGCACTGTATGATGATATAGTCTAGATTATTGCAACCATAAGTCCTAGCACTGTATGATGATATAGTCTAGATTATTGCAACCATAAGTCCCAGCACTGTATGATGATATAGTCTAGATTATTGCAACCATAAGTCCTAGCACTGTATGGTAATATAGTCTAGATGTCTGCAACCATAAGTCTCCTCACCGCGTAATAATAGTCTAGATGCCTGCAACCATAAGTCCCAGCACTGTATGATAATATAGTCTAGATGTCTGCAACCATAAGTCTCCTCACCGCGTAATAATAGTCTAGATGTCTGCAACCATAAGTCCCAGGACTGTATGATAATATAGTCTAGATTATTGCAACCATAAGTCTCAGCACTGTATGATGATATAATCTAGATTATTGCAACCATAAGTCTCAGCACTGTATGATGATATAATCTAGATTATTGCAACCATAAGTCCTAGCACTGTATGATGATATAATCTAGATTATTGCAACCATAATTCCTAGCACTGTATGATGATATAATCTAGATTATTGCAACCATAAGTCCCAGCACTGTATGATGATATAGTCTAGATGTATTCAACCTTAAGTCCTAGAACTGTATGATAATATAGTCTAGATGTCTGCAACCATAAGTCTCCTCACCGCGTAATAATAGTCTAGATGTTTGCAACCATAAGTCCCAGCACTGTATGATAATATAGTCTAGATGATTGCAACCATAAGTCTCCTCACCGCGTAATAATAGTCTAGATGTTTGCAACCATAAGTCCCAGCACTGTATGATAATATAGTCTAGATGTCTGCAACCATAAGTCTCCTCACCGCGTAATAATAGTCTAGATGTTTGCAACCAGCATCCCAGCATTGTATGATAATATAGTCTAAATGTCTGCCGGAGTACATCTAATGAGCTACTTGCCATATCGTATGTAATTAGGAAAACACACAAAGGCCAGGCGGTACATGACTGCAGGGAAAAGACATTAACACTCACATCTACCGGTACCACAGCATGCACGCCACAACGTATCAACAAACAGTCCTGGGCTGTAGATATGGAAATTGACTTTCAATTAATTAGACCTCCTAACAATATGGCGCAGGGCGGCCATTAATTTTCTTCATAGAAATGCCCCGGTGTCATTTCCCGGAGGAGCGGTACGGTCTGCTACTCTTGGAGTCTTTACACGGACAAGGTGGAGAATTCTATTCGGTGTCTCTCTAGGGGCTGGACAATGACGTCACCGCTGAAGGTGATGAAAGGAATTGCCATCAATATCTGTCTGGTGAGAACAAGAAAACAGATGGTTGTGTGTGTGGATGTGTGTTTGTGTGTGGATGTGTGGATTGTTTGTGTGTGGTTTGGTTGTGTGTAGATTGTTTGTGTGTGGATGTGTGGTGTGATTGTGTGTGGATGTGTGGTGTGTTTGTGTGTGGATGTATGGTGTGTTTGTGTGTGGATGTTTTGGTGTGTTTGTCTGTGGATGTGTGGTGTGTTTGTGTGTTGTGTTTGTGTGGTGTGGTTGTGTGTGTGGATGTGTGGTGTGCTTGTGTGGTGTGTTTGTGTGTGGTGTGTTTGTGTGTGGATGTGTGTTGTGTTTGTGTGGTGTGTTTGTGTGGTGTATTTGTGTGTGGATGTGTCGTGTAGTTGTTTGTTGATGTGTGGATTGTTTGTGTGTAGATGTGTGATGTGTTTGTGTGTGGATGTGTGGTGTGTTTGTGTGTGGATGTGTGGTGTGTTTGTCTGTTGTGTTTGTGTGTGGGTGTGTGGTGTGGTTGTGTGTGTGGCTATGTGGTGTGTTTGTGTGTGGATGTGTGGTGTGCTTGTTTGGTGTGTTTGTGTGTGGTGTGTTTGTGTGTGGATGTGTGTTGTGTTTTTGTGGTGTGTTTGTGTGTGGATGTGTCGTGTGGTTATGTGCGGATGTGTGGATTGTTTGTGTGTAAATGTGTCGTGTGTTTGTGTGTGGATGTGTGGATGTGTGGCGTGTTCGTGTGTGGATGTGTGGTGTGTTTGTGTGGTGTATTTGTGTGTGGATGTGTGGTATGGTTGTGTTTGGATGTGTATGGATATGTAGATGTGTGGTGTGGTTGTGTTTGGATGTGTATGGATGTGTGGTGTGGTTGTAGCAGCCGGTATGTGGTTTTGTCAAAGCATCTAGTGTGTAATATTGTGCTTGTCATGGGATGTGTGGTGTGGGTAGTGGATGTGTGGTGTGGGTAGTGGATGTGTGGTGTGGGTAGTGGATGTGTGGTGAATGGACTAAACAGAATGGGCTCTGCTAGTAGAATCACTGTGATCTTATTTAACGATCATAGCCACGGACCAGGCACCGTAAAGTATGTTTGCAACTGGCCTATACCACAGTTTAATTAAAGTCGAGATAAACGACTTCATTGCACCAGGTCTTATCCCATGAGGCTGGGCCTCTCTCCATAGAACGGCTAGTCGCCTACTGAGAGCACGAATTCCATAGCTCCGGCGACGACGCTCAGAGATCTCTGTAAACAGTGCACCCCTGAACTGAACTACACAACCCGAAAACGAACCCACGACCTCCAGAGCGAGAGGTGAGCGGCTTGACACAGTTTAATTATGAAGAATAAACCGAGGTGGAAGAGCAGAAGAAGGATGAGGAGGGGGAGAAGGAATCAGAATAGTGTGTGTGTACCATCTAACAAACGACTAGTTTGAGGTTTAGTATACAGGGTGTTTGTAAAGTCTCCATACACTTTGTGTGAAATGTTAAAATCCAAGTGCATGACGTAGTCAAAGCGATGTGCTAGAAAGGGTGGCTAAATTAGTTACAATAGACACTTCTATAAAGTAACGCTGTTTTTGATGAAGCTGAAAATAAGAATGAAATATTCACAATAGATGTTGGAAATGTCTGCCACGGGGTTCAAGACACAACTGTATACCTCTCTTTATTTGGTCAAATACCTTCCTCAGTCTCTGTTATTTCCTGAATGGCAGGTAATTCTGATTGCTCCGTTGACAAAACTATTCTGTTCTGAGGGCGAAGAATTACTTCAGCAGACGACTACCATTCACTGCATCTTGCTTTGCGATGGATTGTGGGTCCCATTCTTTTGATGACGTCATGTTTTTCGTTTTGAACGTATGTTCTGTTACAAAGATTAGTGAAACTTTGCAAACACCCTGCACACGTAGATCCGAGAGAGCAGCAACAGGTGAAATCCGTCGGAAATATGGGGAAAATATATTGTTGTTGAGGTACTTTACTTGCCCAGTGTTGCTTCATTGTTCTTTATGAATCTCCATTTAAATGTGTCGGTGGTGCTTGGGATGGTGCTGGTGCCTATTGCTGGTGCAATAGTGGTTGTTTATGTAGCTTCTTGGTGAAGCGAGAGTGGCTTTTGGCGGTGCGAGAGTGGTTATTTATGTAGCTTCTTGGTGAAGCGAGAGTGGCTGTTGGTGGTGCGAGAGTGGTTGTTGGTGGTGCCAGAGATGTTGTTAGTAGTCCAGAGTGACTTTTGGTGGTGCCAGAGTGGCTCTTGGTGGTGCCAGAGTGGCTCTTGGTGGTGCCAGAGTGGCTCTTGGTCGCGCGAGAGTGGCTCTTGGTGGTGCCAGAGTGGCTCTTGGTTGTGCCAGAGTGGTTGTTGGTGGTGCCTGAGTGGCTGTTGTTGGCGCCAGAGTGGTTGTTGGTGGTGCCAGATTGGTTGTTGATGGTGCCAGAGTGGCTCTTGGTGGTGCCAGAGTGGTTGTTGGTGGTGCCAGAGTGGTTGTTGGTGGTGCCAGAGTGGTTGTTGGTGGTGCCAGAGTGGTTGTTAGTGGTGCCAGAGTGGGTGTTGATGGTGCCAGAGTGGTTGTTGGTGGTGCTAGAGTGGCTTTTGGTGGTGCTTGAGTGGCTGTTGGTGGTGCCAGAGTGGTTGTTAGTAGTCCAGAGTGGTTGTTGGTGGTGCTAGAGTGGCTTTTGGTGTTGCCACAGTGGCTGTTGGTGCTACTAGAGGGACTTTTGGTTGTGTGAGAATGCTTGTTGGTGGTGCGGGAGTGGTTGCTGCAGCTTGCTGGTGCTGCCATAGTGGCTGTTTGAGCTCGTTGAAAGAAAAACGTAAATCTTTCAAACTGGAAATGCAAACTGTACTACCTATGTGCCGGGCACATGAAATTTTGCTCACATGCTTTCCATGGCTTCTGGCTCATGAGACCAGTTGCTGCGGGCTTGGAGAAAAAAAAGGGGGAAGAGGTGAAGGAAAGTATCTCTCTCTAACTCTCTATCTCCCTCAATCTGTATTCGTCTCTCCTCTCCTCTCTGTGTATTTATCTTTCCCTTCTACTACCACTCCTACTGCTGCTAACGCTACTGCTATTGCTGTTGTTGCTGCTGCAAGCTTGATTTAGTCTAGGTATGGCTTTCGCAATTAGCCACATACTGCGTACTTGGCACTGACGTGCCATGCCTACTGGAAACTTAGCTCTGACGTACTTAACATACTGGGTACTTGGCTCTGACGTACTCTACATGCTAGGACTTGACTCTAACGTACTCTACATGCTAGGACTTGGCTCTGACGTACTCTACATGCTAGGAGTTGGCTCTGACGTACTCTACATGCTGGGACTTGACTCTGACGTACTCTACATGCTAGGAGTTGGCTCTGACGTACTCTACATGCTGGGACTTGGCTCTGACGTACTCTACATGCTGGGACTTGGCTCTGACGTACTTTACATGCTGGGACTTGACACTGACGTGCTCTACATGCTGGGACTTGGCTCTGACGTACTCTACATACTGGGACTTGACACTGACGTACTCTACATGCTGGGACTAGGCTCTGACGTACTCTACATACTGGGACTTGACTCTGACGTACTCTACATACATGGACTTGACACTGACGTACTCTACATGCTGGGACATAGCTCTGACGTACTCTACATACATGGACTTGACACTGACTTACTCTACATGCTAGGACTTGGCTCTGACGTACTCTACATGCTAGGAGTTGGCTCTGACGTACTCTACATGCTGGGACTTGGCTCTAACGTACTCTACATACATGGACTTGACACTGACGTACTCTACATGCTAGTAGTTGGCTCTGACGTACTCTACATACTGGGACTTGACTCTGACGTACTTTACATGCTGGGACTTGACTCTGACGTACTCTGCATGCTGGGACTTGACTCTGACGTACTGTTCATGCAAGGCCTTTGCTCTGACGTACTCTACATACTGGGTACTTGGCTATGACGTGCTATGCCTACTGGAAACTTGGATCTGACGTACTCTACATACTGGGTGTTGACTCTGACGTACTCTACATGCTGGGACTTGACTCTGACGTACTCTACATGCTGAGACTTGACTCTGACGTACTCTACATACTGGGACTTGGCTCTGACGTTATCTACATACTGGGACTTGACTCTGACGTACTCTACATGCTGGGACTTGGCTCTGACGTACTCTACATACTGGGACTTGACTCTGACGTACTCTACATAGATGGACTTGACACTGACGTACTCTACATGCTGGGACATAGCTCTGACGTACTCTACATACTGGGACTTGGATCTGACGTACTCTACATACTGGGACTTGACTCTGACGTACTCTACATAATGGGTACTTGGCTCTGACGTGCCATGGCTACTGGGAACTTGGCGCTGACGTACTCTACAGACTGGGACTCCACTCTGACGTACTCTACATACTGGGTACTTGGCTCTGACGTACTCTACATGCTGGGACTTGGCTCTGACGTACTCTACATGTTGGGACTTGGCTCTGACGTACTCTACATGCTGGAACTTGGCTCTGACGTACTCTACATGCTGGGACTTGGCTCTGAGTACTCTACATACTGGGACTTGACTCTGACGTACTTTACATGCTAGGAGTTGGCTCTGACGTACTCTACATGCTGGGACTTGACTCTGACGTACTCTACATGCTAGGAGTTGGCTCTGACGTACTCTACATGCTGGGACTTGGCTCTGACGTACTCTACATGCTGGGACTTGGCTCTGACGTAATTTACATGCTGGGACTTGACACTGACGTGCTCTACATGCTGGGACTTGGCTCTGACGTACTCTACATACTAGGACTTGACACTGACGTACTCTACATGCTGGGACTAGGCTCTGACGTACTCTACATACTGGGACTTGACTCTGACGTACTCTACATACATGGACTTGACACTGACGTACTCTACATGCTGGGACATAGCTCTGACGTACTCTACATACATGGACTTGACACTGACGTACTCTACATGCTAGGACTTGGCTCTGACGTACTCTACATGCTAGAAGTTGGCTCTGACGTACTCTACATGCTGGGACTTGGCTCTAACGTACTCTACATACATGGACTTGACACTGACGTACTCTACATGCTAGTAGTTGGCTCTGACGTACTCTACATACTGGGACTTGACTCTGACGTACTTTACATGCTGGGACTTGACTCTGACGTACTCTGCATGCTGGGACTTGACTCTGACGTACTGTTCATGCAAGGACTTTGCTCTGACGTACTCTACATACTGGGTACTTGGCTATGACGTGCTATGCCTACTGGAAACTTGGATCTGACGTACTCTACATACTGGGTGTTGACTCTGACGTACTCTACATGCTGGGACTTGACTCTGACGTACTCTACATGCTGAGACTTGACTCTGACGTACTCTACATACTGGGACTTGGCTCTGACGTACTCTACATACTGGGACTTGACTCTGACGTTCTCTACATGCTGGGACTTGGCTCTGATGTACTCTACATACTGGGACTTGACTCTGACGTACTCTACATAGATGGACTTGACACTGACGTACTCTACATGCTGGGACATAGCTCTGACGTACTCTACATACTGGGACTTGGATCTGACGTACTCTACATACTGGGACTTGACTCTGACGTACTCTACATAATGGGTACTTGGCTCTGACGTGCCATGGCTACTGGAAACTTGGCTCTGACGTACTCTACATACTAAGACTCCACTCTGACGTACTCTACATACTGGGTACTTGGCTCTGACGTACTCTACATGCTGGGACTTGGCTCTGACGTACTCTACATGCTGGGACTTGGCTCTGACGTACTCTACATACTGGGACTTGGCTCTGACGTACTCTACATGCTGGGACTTGGTTCTGACGTACTCTACATACTGGGACTTCACTCTGACGTACTCTACATACTGGCACTTGGATCTGACATACTTTACATCCTGGGACTCGACTCTGACGGGCTGTATATGCTAGTACTTGTCTCTGACATACTTTACATGCTAGGACATGGCTCTGACGTACTCTGCATAATGGAGACCAATGATTTGAATGGTTATTTTAATAACTTCTTCTAACACAAGGCGTCAGGCGAGGCCACCACGACCTTTCTCTGTGTGGTTAGTGAAATCCTGAAGCATGGAACATGCAAGGACGCTTTAGAACACTTAATAAATAATAATCGTCCATATGTTATGAAACAGAAATCACTCAATAGATTGAGCGATCAGTATAATATTGGCTGAATTTACATCCCTAGACTGTTCCTGCTGCCTATTTTAGACTTGACTGAGCTAGAAAAAGAGTCCAGCTGGTAATAGAATTCTTGGAAAGGGGGGGGGGGGGTGGGGGGGGGGGGGTGGGGGGGGGGGGTGGGGGGGGGGGGGGGGGGGGGGGGGGGGGGGGGGGGGGGGGGGGGGGGGGGGGGGGGGGGTAATTTAAAACAACTCAGTTGCGTACGCTTTTCAGGACATCGCAGAACGAAACCCAGCATTTTTGTTGTGTGAAGCTCTTGCGGTTTCTCTAGAAGAATTTACGTTCAGAAGTTTGCCATAGCTTCCTGAACAGTCACGGATCTCGTTAACACTGTCGAAAGGCCGCCTAAGGGGGTCTGAAGCCATATCGTATGCAGCTGGGATCGAAGCTGGCACATCGACATTACGAAACGCGTTGGCAATCTTAGGCTACAAGCGCCGGCAGTGTGAAGTGCAGCCGACAAGCCAAAACAAATCCGTTTTCATTTTTGCCTGAGCCGTTGTAACAAGCAAATGCTTTTACCGCAACGAGACACACCAGGAGCATGTAATGGGATTAATACGGTAAATATATGGCAGTACATCAGACACAGCGTCGGTTTCAGCGTCAACGGGACGGACACAGAATGCCCAAACTGGCAGCCAACAGAATTCGAATCGAGGATAATGCTATTCTTCTGTTCCACTGCAATATCGTTTCGGGCAAATAATGAACAGATCACAGAATGGGCCGGACAAAAGAACTTTCCAGTCCCCGAGTCATTTAGCGCAGTACTCGCGCGCAGCAAACATGCACAGGTCACTGGGGGTCAGAGGATGTAATTCTAATTGCAGCCAGAATAGAATTGGCCACTTCGAAAACTCGTTCTTTTAAATCTAATGATACTCATAAATGTGAGGTTTTTAAATACGTTTAGTTGGCATAGAATTGTAAGGGAACCACGATATATTAGGTATTGCTTCCTCTGTTGCAGAACTGTTTACCATCAGTCAAATTTTTCATTATTTCGAAACCCCACCCTGGCCGTTGCTAGTGACCCTAATAAAACCCAAACTATGGGTTGAACGGAGTTTCTGGGACCTTTTCATAGGTGATCTTCATCCGAATAGTGGCACTTTGTGTCGCCTGGTGTTTATCGCTCTGTGTGATGCCCTGGTGGGGTTACACGTCAGTCAGTCAGTCAGTCAGTCAGTCAGTCAGCCAGTCAGTCAGTCAGTCAGTCTATCCTCATCAACGGTCGCAAAGATTAGCCTGCGGTCTCTGTGTTCTTGATTTTCCTGGCAGCTAATCACGATGTCCCTTTTATGTTATGTCATATCCTTGTTATGTCCTATAAGTCATGTCTCTACCTCGTTATGTCCCTATCTTGTTATGTACCTACCTTGTTAGTCCCTACCTTGTCATGTCCCTATCTTGTTATGTTCCTATCTTGTTATGTCCCTACCTTGTCATGTCCCTAAATTGTTATGTCTCTACCTTGTTATGTCCCTATCTTATTATGTCCCTATCTTGTTATGTCCCTATATTTTACGTCGCTATCTTGTTATGTCGTTATCTTGTTATGTCCCTATCTTATTATATCCCTATATTTTACGTCCCTATCTTGTTATGCCGACTGTAACTTTAACTTTAACATACAAATAAGCCAGATCAGTACAATATTTAAGCCCGCAAAACGCAAGTCCCAGGGCAAAATCAAATTCCAGAAGTGGACGAACAACCAGGACTTTCCGCATGAGTTTACTGCCAGTGCGCGTTGTGTGGTGTTGCACTACACTATTGCCTGGCCTTTGTTCATCTATCTAGCCAGTCACGGAATGTGCCTATATTTTTACCAGACTCTCTACAGGGTTCACCAAACTTGTCTGCCTTGTCAGGTCTACAAATCATTGTTAATGGAAGCTCCTAGCCTTCCAGAATTTTTAATCAGAACCATCAGAGATGTTAGTTCCAGATCCCACTTCTACACCCAGTATTCTGTTTGAGTCTGATCAATAACTCTATTTGCCACATGCTTAATTACCCATATAGTAAATTACTAGTCATGCTAAAATTAATTAGTTACGTCCCAATGTCGCAGGTAATTTTTCGTTATTTTAAAGCCCCGTGCTGCTTGTGTCAGAGGCCCGAATGTGACCTAACGTTTAAACAAGGTTTCTGGGACTAATTTGATTTGATTCAAGAACCGTCATCACAGCACTCGGGGCATTCCCATAAGCGCTCTGTCCCCATCTTCTGTAGCCAGCGAAGAGTTCCGATTCTAATGGGGCCAGTAGCATTCTGATTAAACGTCCGTCTTGCCTTTCCTCTAAGCCTCGAGCATCTGCCAGAACCTCTCGTCACCTCCAACTGCATCAATCTCACCAGACTGTGGTGATCCAATTGTATATGCTCTCCCACAAGGCACTAACCACGTCTGCCCTATCAGGTAGTCCCTCTCTGGGACTTCCACCGGGTGATCCTCATCCGAATGGTGGCACTTTGCGTCACCGGGTGTCAGTCTCTCCTTATAGGATACTGGTGGGGTTAAACAACAACAACAACCATTACTAGTGGTGACACACCACTGTTCCATCATCCTACTTGAGATCTTCAACAATTTTACTCGGTTAACTCAATTTCTAGAAAGTTTCCTTGTCTAGATGCCATGAAGATATAAACTATTCATTCCTTTTTCTGGTCTCTGTTCCTGGAATGCCTCACCTCGTCAAGGCAGGAAGAGATCTCTGGAACGGGCTCCAACTATTCGCTTCGTAAATAGCACTCTCCTGTATCTCCAGCAAATTCTAGGTCCTTTTCTGAGTGGTCGACCTCTGGCCGGTTACCGCTTTATCTGTGTAACATTGCTCTCTGTGGTACCCGGACTGTTGCCATCCTGTTACACGACATTTCACTATTCTAGATTTATTTATGAAGTATTTTATCTGGGTGTTTGGAGATATGGAACAAAAACATAGGCATGCAAAAAATACTAGAGCATACAACATCAGTACAGACATCCAGGTAATATAAACACAGAAAGAAAACACAAAACATTATGCTAGAGAGGCTGGTCATAACAAACAATATTTATTTCAGTGTTAACTTTCTAAAGGAACTTACTTGCAACAATAGGAAAGAAGGAGGGGGGGGGGGGGAGAACACAGAAGACAGTGGGCATTCATAATTATCGAGGAAAATGGCGTAGTCTTTAGACATCTGCCCCCTCGTCTCTGTACAACACGATCTATTCCCTCATCTCTGTACAACACGATCTATTCCCTCATCTCTGTACAACACGATCTATTCCCTCATCTCTGTACAAAACGATCTATTCCCTCATCTCTGTACAACACG